CTTCTTGGTCTTCAAAACTCTCCACGTTGCAAGCTATCTCAATTTTCCCTTCATGGGGAAAAGCCATCGCTTGGACGCCCTTCAGTCCACTCGCATTTGAGCCCCGAATGGCACCAGCAATTTCCTTTCCCAAGGCCAAGTCCTGAGAGTCTATGGTCACATTGCAGTTCATCACATACGGGCTGGCGCCGACGCCTAAATCATTGGAAAAGCATGTTAATCAAGCAAAGCAAAACCCTCCTTCTGAATGTTCTATTCTTTAGCCAATTTTAATCCAAGGAGCTACCTTTACGTGGCTGTACTTTAAGATAATACAAATATCTCTCATTATCAGCTCCAGAACTTTGTGAAATATATATGTACAAGAGGCCCGGTGCACAAAAATTTGTGCACTCGGGGGGGGAGGGGTCCCTCAGCCCGGCCTGTGCCCTCTCGCAGTCTGGGACCCCTTGGGGGATGACCACCTGCTGGCTTAGGCCCACTCCCTGGGGGATTGAGCCTAAGCTGGCAATCAGACATACCTCTGGCAGCCCGGGAGCCCTCGGGGGATGTCCACTTGCCAGCGGGGAGCAGGCCTAAGCTGCAGTCAGACATCCTTAGCGCTGCTGAGGAGGCAGGAGAGGCTCCCACCACCACCGCTGTACTGGCAGCCATCAGCCTGGCTTGTGGCTGAGCAGAGCTCCCCCTGTGGGAGTGCACTGACCACCAGAAGACAGCTCCTGCATTGAGCATCTGCCCCCTGGTGGTCATTGTGTGTCACAGTGACCAGTCATTCCCAGTCATTCTGCTGTTAGGGTCAGTTTGCATATTACCCTTTTATTATATAGGATATAAAACAGAGTTAGTTAAGCTAAAAGCAGAAATGTTTATCTACTCTGAAATTATCTGCAGGTTGTCTTTTCTAGAATAGCTAAGGGTCCAGAATTTCCCAAAGATCAACAGAAAAGGGGCAGCGCACTTTAGTATTAAATATCAACAGCAGCAAAAAGTCTTCACTTTTCATTAATTTCCAAGGACATCTCCACAAGGGCTGGGCCTAAGGCTCTGGGAGACACAAATAAGTCATACTCTGTACCTATCCCTTCCTCCCCAAACACACCCGTTATCACTGAGTTAGGTTAACACCCAATTCAAGGGAACCTCAACAACAGTCTTGGTTAGGGAAGGTGGTCACTAAAAAGTGACAAAAAGCCTTGGAACTGGGAAGAGAAAAAACACTTGCGTCTCATGAGAATGTGGGTTTGGCAGGGTTTGGAGCACTATGTATACCTACTGAGGTACAACCTGTTGGAAGCACCTGTCCCACCCCCAGCGTCCCCAGGACCTGGGACGGCCAAGGCCTCTCTGAGCCCCTTTACTTTAGAGCTGGGGGCAAATGTCCCTTTTTTTCTTGCCTCAGGAATGGTGCAGCTCATGTTACATAAATAACCCTGCTCTAATTATAGTTTACATTTTAAGATGGACAACTTGGTTAAATTAGCATTGACATAAAAAGCTTACGTTTGCAGTTTCTTCACTTTGGGGGAACCTTATATTTCTGAAAGCAAGGTTGATGAGGGATTGACGGAGGATAAAAGGCTGACCTCATCTCCAGCAGATGACAATTCCTTAGCTACTATTTCAACATCATTTTACTGTCATAGCTTTTTCTTGCTACTTTCAAACGTATTGCTCAGGATGTCAGTGTCCATAAGAGATGTCCTCTGGGCTCACTTTCCCTGGACGGCCATGGTTTGGGGGCTTTACTGCCTTAGCCTGGGTACGCTCATACTAATAGACGCTTCACAGAAATCAGCACACGGAAACCACATTTCGCCTTTTTCCCACATGTGTACACATAATAAAACATTTCAACTCCTGAGGTTGGGCCTCTTCCTACTGGGAATTCTGCAGAAATGAATCAGATTACAGTAGTTCTCCATCATGCTGATTTCACAAAAATTAAATTTCCTAACAGTCAATACATCTCTCTCTCTCATAATCTCATACACCAATCACTTACTCTAAATATCTTTGAGACGTATATCAGTTTCAACATTTCACAGAGGACATTGGAATTTTTTTTTTTTTTGGTCAATGCTAATGCCATTCATTAATAGAAAATATCCCAGCATGGCTTCTCTCTCTCCTCCACCCAACAGGTAACGATTTCCTCCAATCTGATAGACATTCCCTATTCTGACTCAAGAACTGGTCTCATCTTTACCATCACTCCAACGATCTCACTCATTTTTGCTGAAGAGTCTATTTCTATATACACTCTGCCACAGTAAGCACAATTATTCAAGACACATATTAGGCCTATTGCGCTTGGCTATTTCAAAACGGTGATGTGTCCAATCAGCATTCAGATATCCACATGCAATCTGTCAGCTTGAGGGCGTCCTTGAGATGGACCCAGGGCCCTCGTGCTCACGCTGCGGTGGCCGGGCCAGTCCCTCCTACAGCCACAGGATCCAGAAGATTCCAAGGCCCCTTTTACCACCACATGCCCAAGAACTGCCCCTTTTTAGTAGCATTTCCAAAAGTGATCATTCTTGTTAACAAATGAATTCATTGCCTAAGGTAAGTTATTGAAGATAGAAAACATTTAGATCTCCAGCCCAGGGCACAAGAATTTGATAAAGAATATATTTGTCCCAAGACTGATTTACTTAATTTTTAAAAACCCACTATTTTAAAAACGCCTTTAAAAGCATACGTAAAAGAAAGGCATATGTAAAAGTTAATTGTTTCTTAGAAAACTAAACATCAGAAGTAACTTTCATATTCTCTTTTAAATAAAATAAGAGGGAATCACTTAGCACAGAATGATCATTTTTCCTGTATTCCATTGCTATGTGTTATTTTAAATTCTTCTATTAAACTTTAATTACACAATAATTTAATTTGTTTTATCACTACAGCTTCAGGAGTGAATAAACAAAGACGAATCAGTGAGTCCTGAGAAGTTTCTGACCTCATCGGGTAGGGGTTCCCTTTCTGCGGGTTGGGAGGCCATGGCCCATTTCTCCCGTGGAAGGGGAGGGAGTGCAGGGAGAGGAGGGAGGAGAGAGGAAGAGAGGAAAAGAAAACCACTTTCTGCCCAAGTGCATGCTTCCCCAACTTCCTCCAAGTCCAACACCAACACGGTGCACTAATTCTAACGAATCCAGCAGTCCCAGTGACTTTGTTCAAATGCTGAATTTGACTCTTTATGCTCATTAAACTTCGCTAGAATTTTTAAAGAAGTAATTAATCCCAGCAACTCGTATTTCTAGTGACACGTCATATAATTAAAGTGATTCCACTTTTTGCTCTAAAATTAGAAAGCTGATGTGAGTTTGTTTGTTTGTTTGTGGTTCGCCCCGCCCCTACCTCCACAGATTGGCAGGCTGCTCTGCGAATCTCCCCACTCGAAGCTCAAATCCCAGTTCTATTCCAATGCAACTGTCACAACGCCCCCAAGCAGGCTAAAAACAGGGAAAATCTCTGCTATGATTTCACTTTCCATGTGTTCTATTCTTTAATAAAAAATTTGTCATTCTAAATATTGGTGTTTACTCCTAGTTAAATACTTTTTTTTATCAAAAAGAAAAAGAAACTGAGATTCAGTTGCTATTATTTCCCAAGGAAATCTAACAGGCCTGATGTTTTCCTGACAATCCTGCTATTTTCTTGTGTGGAAACACTGTATTTATCATATACTGCACGGCTGGTGATTTAGATATTGTAGAGACCTTATGGTGAACTGATAGAGATGTAAATTCTTTCTGCCAGATTGTTTAAGCAGAAAAAAACAACACAAAAAAACCCCAAATGCACTTAATTAACATCTGATGTGTAGCTTTTGCAAACACGAATGCGATATTTGTGTTTGAGCACTGGCAGTAATGACTGTGAACTACGCTATTAATGTCTGGTTTAAAGATGCTTGTGGTAGGACCACGTCTGGAAGAACACAAATAAAATCCTGCATTCAGACAAAACAATAGCGAAGAGCCCATTAGAACAATGAGAAGGCAGCACTCAGAGGAGACACGCGTCCTTCTTCCCCCTTAGATCAAAACTATCCTCAAAAATAGTTCTCAGTGGCACCGCCATCAATCAATTTTCAGGTCAAAGGATTCTCCACATTTTCCTCCACAGGAAGAGTTTCAGTTCAGCGGCTCAGAAGTTGCTTAGGGGTGTCTTAGACGTCCTACCCATTAGACTGCGCTCCTCCTCGGCGGCCAGTAGGCACACATGTGCGAGGAGAGAGCTGGGGTGGTGTTCTGGGGTACTTGGCATTTTCATATCTGAAGAGAGAACGTCACCTTTGTGGATTCCTGTGCAAAGTGAATGAACAGAGATTCTCATGGACCAACACGCAACTCCCTCAGTGAGTATGTTTTCCTGAAAACCTGCTGCGTGCCAGGAGCCTTGAGTCACTGGGCACAAAAACAGGAAGAAGGTGAAAATAAGATAAAGCCCAGGTGGTCTTCGCTTCACAGTAACAGAGAAAGCAGGCACCAGACCTGGACCTCAGGTCCCACAACACAAACAGTCACTACCCCGAGCGAACAGGCGCCGTTACATGCGGGTGCTTTAACTTTTTTAGAACGTGTACTAAAGAGAAACCACAGCTGAGACAAGACATTTGGTGACCGAAGCCATAAAACTCACACATAACTGCTCAGCCCCGTGCGCCCATGGCAGGGAGCACGCAGGGCTCTGAGGCATGTGGCCAGATCTATGGAAAAGAAAGCTAAGCGAGGAGCACGTGGGCAGAGCTGGGAGTGGCACCCCAGGGATCGGGATTCAAGTTCCACCTCCTCAGGACACTGCCTTTGCTCGGCTGTTTTTCTGCAAAATGCGTATGATATTTTCCTGCTCTGCAAGGAATGGTGAACCTCAATTTCTCAGCTTTGAATCTTTCAAAATAGCAAGAATTCAGAGAGGAAATTACAGAAGTAGGTGCACGTTAACGTCGTCATGGGATGAAGCCAGCCCGGGTGAGGCCAGCTCAGGTGACTTGCTTGTTCCCGAATTTTCCATAGTGGAGTGGTGCCCTTCATCCATCCAACACCCAAGTCCTTCATGTGCCCATTACAGGTTCCACGTTTAATTACACATCGAGACTTTCGCCTCCCATCATCCAAAGTGGATGTATAGTCAAACAGAGAATCATGGAAATTGGTTCCTTAAAACTTAACAGACTCCTTCTAACACTGGGAAAGTGATTTTTCAGAGACTAAGTAAAAGTTTTGATGTGGAGTAAATCGCATTATTCAATGTCAAGAAAAGTGGCTGGTGATGCTACGCTTCTGATTTACAGGGAGAGAAGTAGCAGGGGCAGCTCTCAGGAACCCATTTAAATAGCTAAACAGAAGTCCCTGCCTCCAAGATGTGCCGATTACCTCCATCCATGATTCCCAAAACAGCATATGAAACTGTGTAGTTCAAAGAATCGTCCCTGTATTTTTAAACAATGATGCATATAGTATATGCAGGCCATTCATATAACATATCAGCCAGCAGTGTTTAAATTATCCCATAAATGTTTAGGGTTTTTAAATATATATGTATAAAGTATTTATTTATAGATCTAAAAGTATCAACTATTATTGCTTTGCCCTAATTTATGTTCCCCACGAGCTGGCCAACTACAAACTTTTAAAAGGAATTTGGTTAAAAGATTTTGTCTGTTTGGCACTGACGAGGAGTGCTAGTCATTTCTGAGCTCACTTTTTTCCTCCTCTGTTTATAATATTCTTAGGGAACTTCAAAACAGAAACCTGCTCCCTCATAGATCTGCTTCCTCTGGGGGACTGCGCAGATTAATTTGTCACTGGAAAGTTAACTGTAAGTGTTCAGTTGATAGCACCAATCATCCTATTTAATTCTTTTTTAGGAAAAGAAATAAACAGCAACAATGTGTTGAGGCTTTTCTGTTTTGATGGGAGAAGTGGAAAGATTTGTTGAGAAACACTGACATAACTAAAGAAAGTTAGAAAAATATATAAAGCCATTAAATTTTAAAATAAGGGAAATCAGCACCACTGTTGAGAACTAAATGCACTGAAAAATTAGATGAGTAACATGTATACCCTAATGACCAAAGTATTGTAAATTCTACTTCAATATACAGGACTTTAAAAAAACGAAAGCATTTTATTCCTTCCTACATGAATGTTTTTTTAAGGGAGAATTTGTGCAAGGAAGGTACCCTGAGATTTGGGCTGATCATGTGTCTTAATATTGAATTCCAATCTGGTCTGCAAATTACTAGAAACGAATTGCTTATCCACATCCCTTATTTACTCTTCCACCTTGAAACAGACATGATGTTTCTCTGCAGGCACCTGCTTTGAGCCTATTAAATGAAGGGCCTGTGCTTGGACAAGGTCGCCTAAACTTAGCTACTCTTGTAACTTTCATGTTTTTTTGCACAAATTAAGGCTTCTGCCACTTGTCAGGAGATATTAGCAAAATAGACATTGGGGGGGAAGTTGTGCTACTTTTTCCTTCTTATCTTGAATCTTCCATCAAACCCCACCTAATTGAACACATTGAAACCCAGCTTTTATAAAAACTGACCATTGATAAACCTTAGTAATTATCCCTCATGAAAGATAATGGGAAATAATCACAAGATCAATTTAGAGAAATTATGAAAATGAAAATAAGTTGGAGCATTATAAATTTTAAAATGTGTAAAATTTGAGATAAATAAGATGCACGTATGTTTCCCAATATTCAGGCCATCTATTTGTGCTACTTTGTATCCTCCGGCCTTGACCCTGGCCAGTCCCTCCACCCAAGACTCTTGTTCACACCTCCAGTGGCTACCGACCTCCCCTGGTCTTTGTCCAAAGCTGCATCACAGTGAGGCTGACTCTGGATTATCCCATTGAAATTCACAACTCACCCCACCCCAGGGCACATGGTGGTGGTGGTGTTGTTTTGTTGTTATTTTTTTTGGTTTTTGGTGTTTTGTTTTGTTTTTTTGGCTATAGCACTTATCATTTTCTAACATGCTATAGAATTCATTATTAATTAAGCTTGTTATTTATTGTCTGTCTTCTCATCCCTACCTCCTGGAATAGAAATTCTTTGAGGGCATATCAATTCTATTTTGCCCACTGATGACAGTGTCTGGTGCATACTAAGTACTTAACAAATTCCTTGTTGCATTTATTATCTACAAATTCTCTCTACAATGTATTGTATTTTCCATGTCTCTAAAAATTCTTCCACAACCTCATGCCTAATTGCTTGCATAATAGTCCTTCACTTAGGCATGCCACAGTTTATTTAATTCTCAAATATTGAACATGTATCATGTGTCCAGCACTTGCTATTGTAAGTGATGCTCTGATAAATATACTTGTACCTAAGGACATGCACCTTTTACTATCTCCTTTGGGTTTATCACCAGGAACAGGACTCCTGCCAGGCAGCCATATACACCTTTGAAGCTCCTGATGCATACCCTGAACTCACTTCCACAGCTTGAACCAACTGATAGTACCTTTAGCAGTACGGGGCCTGTGACGACATCCTTACCAGTATCAACACTGCCTTCAAAATGCCATCTTTAAACCTCTTTGTGCCAGTTTTGAACATTTGGTCTTTAACTCAGACATGCTTTTCAAATCAGGTTAGAGTTCTTCCCAAGTACGAACCCATTCATTCTCACAGCACTGCAAAAATGAGAACTGGGTTTTTCAAGGTTTGCCTACCTAACGCTAAAGCCGGCTCTGCTGTATTCTAACACCAGGAGCCCGTCTCCGGTGCCTGCCCACCAGCTGCAATCGCACCACCTGGCCCTGGGCTGACTGGTTTGTGGTGCAATCCCTTCAGTCTCCAATGAGGCTCGAATTAGAAACCAGGAACTAGACTTCTGAGGATTTAGTCACAGAACTTACACTTCTACGCTTGCGAGACGACTCGTGGGGAAATATGTGAGGTTCAAATTGGCAGGGAGCGATCAGTTTCTTCCTTTCCCGTAACTACAGACGGAAACACACTTATCATCACTTTTTATATACCTCCTCTCTGCAGGGAAGGGGGAAAAGGCCCTTTCGTATTGCATTTGGTACTTAGCACACATTATTTCAACTTCACGGTCTTATGAGGGAGGTGCAGGGATTGTGTCCATTTCATAGATATGGGAACTGAGGCTTACGGAACCCTCAGAGGTCACACGGCCAGTAAACAGCAGGGGCAGAATTCGAGCTCAGCCTCAAAGCCGTGATTTTTCTGCTGCATCGACTACAGACACCCTTCATTTGAGAGAATTCTGCACCAGGGGTCCGTACGCAGAGGCCTCTGTGTGACTGCGCAGAGCTGTGTCGTGAGGAGATGTGTTTCTTACGCCTGCCCACCTCTTGGGTAGCCAATATTTTTGTAACGGCTAAGGTATTAACTGACTACCAAAACGTTACCTAACATGGTTGAATTTGTGACCCCTTCAGAAGATATTTGAGAATAAAAGAATTAAGATTCAAGTAAATGGCAGCAGGATGGTGAAGTGCAGGGAACAGGGATGGAATTGGCGGGGGGGTCGGGGGGGCGCTTTCCTTTTCCTAGATAAGCCCTGAGCACAGGGCAGGGCTGGAGCAGCAGACAGTCAAGAACCGGTGAGGCCCCCGGGAAGGGAGAACGCCATGCCTGTTCCCGGTGCCTGCTCGCTCTTCCAGAAGCCTGGTGTCTAGAGAAGGCTCCCCAGCTGCCCCAGAACTGATCGCCAGCTGCACGCATCAGCCCGGCCACACTGGCTGGTCAGGTTCAGATGCGCTTTCCTATCAGCTACAAGTAACCTGGACCAGGTCCCTACCCCCCAGTGTCCAAAGAGTCCGGAGTGACACCATTCTCGTCACCGTGGCCAGGCGGCAGGGCTCATCATGGATCTTCGAATCTCCCTCTAAGGGACTGTCATCAAGTAGCCGAGGAGGGCTGCTCGCCTCTCTGGTCAGCTTATGGAATCATGGATCTTCTAATCTCCCTCTAATGAACTGTCATCAAGTATCCGAGGAGGGCTGCTCGCCTCTCTGGTCAGCTTATGGAGAGACGGGTGAGAGCAAGAGCAGAGAGCCCCTGACCCAACTCTCTAGGGCCTCACTGGGACCGACACGATGCGACAAGTCGAGGGCATCTCAGGAGTCTACCGTCAAGTTTAAAAACAACAGCAGAACCAGACCAAACGGCGAACCTGTTAAGCCACGTCTTCGGGCCGGTGCGGCTCCCAGGTCGGGTTCCAGGGCACCGAGATCCCTCCTCGCGAACCAGCCCAGCTGCTTCCTTCTCTGGACCAGGGGGCGCTTCTCGGGCAGATCGGCCTCGCCGAAGAGAAACACGCTGCTGCCGGGGACACGCAGGATGAGGGTCTCGGCCAGGCCTGTGGCAGCGGGAGGCGTTAACAAAAGTACATTAAAATCGGGCCCAACGGAAGAAAACCAAGCTTACAATTGTCTTATTGTGGTAACGTGCATTTAACACAAAATGTACCAGTGCAGCCATTTCTCAGGGTAAAAGTCAGTGGCATTAAGTACATTCCCATCACTGTGTAACCATCACCATGAAAGCCTATAGTTCCTACTCATTTTTAAAATCAAAGTTTGAACATTATTTATTTTTCCGTGAAGGAGGAGTCTAGTAATAAACGTTTGTCTTTGTACAAGGAGGCTAGAATGTCTAAGCCATTACAAATATTCATCACTAAGATGAATGAAATTGGTGCCCTCAGTTTTTTAACCATTTTCTGACAGCCCCAAATTGTGCATGTTGTTAGGAGAGATGAAAAGATCGCCAGGGCCAGATCTGCACTGTCCAATATGGTAACCCCTACCTACGTGTGCTATTAAGTTTTAATTTTAATCAATTAAAATAAAATACAATTAGCCTGGCCGGCGAGGCTCAGTGGTTGAGCGTCGACCTATGAACCAGGAGATCCCAGTTCGATTCCCGGTCAGGGCTCGATCCCCGGTGGGAGGCGTGCAGGAGGCAGCCGATCCATGATTCTCTCTCATCAATGATGTGCCTATCTCTCTCTCCCTTCCTCTCTGAAATCAATAAAAATACATTTAAAAAAATGAAATGCAATTAAAAATTAAGTTTTTCAGCTGCACTAGCCACATGTCAAGGGCTCGATAACCACACACAGCAAGCTGTCTCCTTATGGAACCTCGCAGATACCAAACATTTCCATCATCCCAGGAAGTTCTGTTGGACAGCACCGGGCCAGATGTTCCCTAAAGAAGCCCAATATTTCAGCATAACTTTATGGAGGGGACTCTACACGACAACATTTTCGCATCTTCTCTGTCCCTTCTTTATACCTAGATCCTGTCTCTGACCTCGTCTTCTCAAGGCAGATTACAGAACTATCCTGTTTATTCTAGAGAACTGCTACCGAGAGCCTGTTTGCAGCCAACAGCACGTTCACACGGGGCTAATTACAATCCCAAAGGACAATGAGGGCACGCATTCCCGTCTGGTGTATGAAATGGAGGGAATTCTGGAGGTGGCCTGGGACAGCAGGAATGTGGGCCTTCTTTACTGGAGGTGCATCATGGGACATCAGGGGCCAGGACAGGGCCTCCTGCCACATAAGCATAGGAAACCTCTCCAACTGCAATTTTAGGGTCTATAATTTGTTTGTTTCTAATGTGGACTGCCACGTTGATAGGAGGGGTGAAATGTGGAGGTGGCCAACAAAGATTTCATATTTCTGGGTTGTATGAAGTCTTAGGAAATGTTCTTTCTCCGAGTCAGGTCGGGACTCTAGCATCAGGAGCCCGCGATGTTATAGTCCAAGAAGCCAAGACAATCTCCCAAGTTCACTAAGGCATCTCTGCTTCTTTAGACCACTCTAAGATGCGAAAGGACCACTGCTCCTGGCGGGAAGGAGGGCACAGATGCCAGGACACATACGGTCAATGGAGGTTTCAGGATTGTAAAATACTGTCTAGACCAGTGGTTCTCAACCTTCTGGCCCTTTAAATACAGTTCCTCATGTTGTGACCCAACCATAAAATTATTTTCGTTGCTACTTCATAACTGTAATGTTGCTACTGTGATGAATCGTAACGTAACTATCTGATATGCAGGATGGTCTTAGGCGACCCCTGTGAAAGGGTCATTCGACCCCCAAAGGGGTCGTGACCCACAGGTTGAGAACCGCTGGTCTAGGCAGTTAGGTAACTTCTCAAGTCTGGACTGGAGCGGGAGGGGGCAGAAGAAAGGGGAGAACATTTTGGAGAGTTGTCAGAGGTTAAGATGCCTTAACACCCCAAATCTCCTAGTTGTTCAGATCACTGATATGTGCTCCAACCATAACTTTGGCTCACACTTTGGCTGCTACAGCTTAATATACAAACTGTGATGCCCAAATAATATGATCTGGAACTTGCTTTAAAATACTTTAGTAAAACCAAAGGAAAATAGAGGAAGATAAAAAGAGAGAAAAGGAGAGAAAAATAAAGGAAGAAACAGAAAAACAGAAAAGAAACTGCCCCATAGAATAGATGGAGAGACTGCGATTAGATGAGCCACGGAGAGCATCCAGCAGGCCTGGTGCACATGCTCAGTAAATGCCGGCCTCTCCTCCTGGCAGGCCTGCTCCGCGGGTCTGAATTCTGACAAGTTGGAGCCACCTTCCTGGGCCGCCATGTCCCTGCGACTAGAAATCCCTGTCTTCTCCACAAACTCACGGTGGAAGGAATCAACCTTAATTTCTGTTCTCTAACGAAGAGAATAAACTATTTCATTACTCTCATGCAATGAAAAGACAACCAACACCAAACTGGTATTCAGTAATGGAGGCAGTACACTATCCTCTTCAGGTTCAGGGAGAGAGCATTTACGTCTCCAGTGACTGCAACCCGGGGGCCTGGCAGGGAGGTGCTCGCAATTTTGCTGGAAGGAAAATGTAGACTGCCCGCATTTCAAAGAAATGTCCCAAACTTAGTCAGAATACTTACCAACAAGGTATTTTGTCTGTCATAGGTTCCATGTTCGGAAGAGCTCGTTTCAATGTTATCACTTTTTTTCACAATTAATCTATGCGATAATCATTCCATGTAATTTAGTCAGAATACTTACCAACAAGCTATTTTGTCTGTCATAGATTCCATGTTCGGAAGAGCTTGTTTCAATGTTATCACTTTCTTTTCACAATTAATCTATGCGATAATCATTCCATGTAATTGCAAACGCTCACACCAAGCAAACAAATAGGCCTCCTAAAGGAGATCAACATTCTGAACACTCCACGCTCAAGCCTGTGGGAAACTGAGTCCCGTCAGCCTTCAGGTCAGCAGCACCGCTGTTGAAGGCCACGGCCCTGCGTCCATCTCCCCTAAAGCCACTCCTCCCTCCGCCGGTGGAGCCCAGCATCTCCAGGGCAGGGACTTGAAGCGTTTACAATGACCAGCAAGAAACCAGAACAACTGAACTCATCCCTGCTTCCTTATCCTGCTCCCCTCCACTGAGATTCATTTCTCCCTCTGTCATGCTCCTGTAGTATTTTACAGCTTTTGTTGGCTGGAACATCAGATCTAATCCACTGGCATCACATAGTTAATTGCGGACTTTTGCTTCTACGTCTAGGTTTCGAGCTCCCTGAACAATTAAGGTTTGTTAAGTTGAATGAATGGAATCTGGGTCCTGAGCACTTTGCAGATGTTGGACACTGCAAACCTGAAATAGCCGTGTCGTCCCCCTCTCCCCATCTCGCCCCAACCTACAAATGAGAGGAAGGGGTCAGCTAACGAAATGCGAACTGGGTTACCAGGGGGAGTACAATGTGCCCGTGGCGACTGAACCCTGGGATCAGTCTTCCACGGTTGGTATCACGTCTTACGAGCTGTCCTCAGAACGGAAGTCCCCTCCGCAGCCAGCAAAGCCACCTGATGGGGGCTACCTGAGCCCGGCAGTACTGTCAGAAACGACAAACGTCCGAATAGCCTGGTGATGGAGGAGCCAGATGCCATCAAGCACTTGAAACAGGCAAAGCAGAACCCGCCAGCTGCCTAAATAGCTCTTTATTAAAAGAACAATCTTTTTTAGTTTTCCTTCCATTTTTTTGACAAGTTTTCCCCACCACCATTATTAAAACTTCTGATCTTCCCATTTTCACTAGACATATGCCAAAAAGGCTGATTTGATGATAGTACTTTTTAAAAATATTTTTATTGATTTGAGAGAAGAAGAGAGGAGGAGAAAGAGACAGAAAATCAATGATGGGAGAGAATCATTGATTGGCTGTCTCCTGCACGCCCCCTACTGGGGATCAAGCCTGCAACCCGGGCATGTGCCCTGGCCAGGAATCGAACCATGACCTCCTGGTTCACAGTCCACTGAGCCACACGGGCCGGACTGATGATAGTATTTTAAAAACATATTTTAACCTTCATGATTGGCTGGCCTTATTTACTCAAAAATGATTTTTAGCCATTTCTCTACAGGTATACTGGTATTTATCACTTTCTGTCTTATCTTTAGAGACTTCTCTGAGCTTGGTTATCCCGATTTGCAAAAGGAGGACTAATGCACCGAGACATTTCTCTATGTGATAAGAAGTTTAAGCTTCATTTTGTTAACAAATGTTTCCTCTGAGTCTATAACGGACGTAAGTGTGACCAAGATGTAGGATTTTACTGAGGATATATAATAGTTAGAGTAGTTCGTGAAGAAGTATTGAAGAATCTGCTGAGTTAAATGTATGTGCCACATACCTCATGTCTACAGTGGTATTTAATACCCCTTTCCCTTCTGCTTTTGTTCTTTTGGGAGCAACGTAGGATTACTGGTATAAATGGAGTTGCAATTTAACTGTTAAACAGAACTGCATTTCAGCAGCTCAAGGAACGTAACGGAGAAGCTAACTTTTGTTACATTTTTCCACGGCAGCCAAAATGCACAACTAGGAAAAAACCATCAAATCTGTCGCTCCCTTTCTTTCCTCTGGAACAGAAAAAGTCTCTTTCCTCTTGCCCACACACGACATAAGTGTGTGGCTTATTTATTTTAAAGCAGAACTCTAATAATACTCAAAAGAGTATCAAATCTTTTCCTAAGTGCATAGCAATGAAAACAGTCTTTTCCAACCCGTCACCTCAGACTCAATAATAAGTAGAGGTAAAAAAGCACAGAATCTAAAAATTAGCCTGGTGCTAGACTTGGAATCTTTCAAGCATCCTCTAATTTTAGTAGAGCTCTCTTAATATAGCCAAGTTTTCTGTTTAGCTGATTTTTTATTTAGTATTTTTTTAATGAGAGGGGGAGAAAAAGATTCTCTCCCAGAAGCCACACAGCTCTCTCAGATGGTAACACAGATAGCCCTAGAAGCTTTTGCCTAAATTCACACACGTCCCTAAAATAAAACTGGCTTCTTAA